ATATTCTGAATACTATTTATTAGACTTGTATTAAAACAAATTAGTTCTTCTTATAAATAGAAATATAACTTTTTGTGTACCTATATTTTGTGATTGAACGTTTATGCCAACTAACTTTTTCTAAATATATACTTAAAAAAAATTTTTTTTCCTTGACTACGTATTATTTGACCTAAATTAAACCAATGTCGCGTTTGGAGACAAAGAATAAATGGTCACTTTATGCATAGGCAAAAAGGAAATACTTGATAAATTAGAATGAACTTCGCCTTAACACATCGAACAAAGTCTAGACTGGAACAATAATATAACATACCTAAGTTAGAATGTTATTCAAATTTATCGTCTAGGCTGCCTTTTGCACTGTTAAATCGCATCATTTGTATTCCTAAGACCTAATACGACGTCTAAGAATTATATTATGAAGGACAGAGTTGATTGTATTTTGTTTATTTTCCTTAACATATATTTTTTAATAATATATCTAATATATATATACCGATGTTATGGAGTAAATCTCAAACATGTATTATTTATAGCCGCACAACAAGGCCACACAAGAAAGAACAAAAAAGGATAGAAACAAGTTATACAAATTATAAAGAATGTGTGGCCTCGATAATAATTGCGGACGGCGTACAAACAATGCTAATAATATAATAATGATTATAATTGATAAGTTTACAAAGAAAAAATAAATATTTCAAATAAGACAGCAAAATAACGTAAGACTTAAGAGAGTGATAACAGAATGCCCTTAATGTAATCGGATGGGCGATCCGTAAAAATATCATGATTGTTCGGCCCCGCAGCAGATTGAACAAACAGAATGTTTAGTGGAGGTAAAAAAGCATCAACGCAACGTCTCAAACCTCTAGGAACAGAAATTCTCAATTTAAACATATGAGAAAGGCAGCATATTGTTGTACAATTCATATGAATAACTTCAGAACCTATTGACAGACAAGATTATATCATCAGGCGCATAGTATTATTGGAAAATAATTCGCTTGGATAATTAAATGACCCTAACAACTATACGATTTTATCAGTTAGTTTTAAGGAATCTGTGCGATATTTATTGTCTACTTCGGCTGTTTTTACGACGAGGGGTTTAGTTTAGTGTAATACAAGTAAGAATCAACAGTTTAGGTATTTGTGTTATTAATAAAGTTGTGAACGTATGAGGTCTGTCTAATAAATACTTCGTGCATGAACGACACATAATCAAATCTCTGGGAAAAACGCCATTGTGAAAATTTATTCAAAGCAGTGTTTCCCATCGCCACACGCCCCACAGTGTAATTTGATTGTTGGAGGTTTTTCAGTATTTCATTATATGTTTTGATAATTTAGTAGGTAGTTTATTTAATTTGTGTTGATTTTTATAGGAATATTTAAGGCTAGGGTGGGACATGCCCTAAAACGGAAGTGGCAAGGGGCAGGGCATAGGCTATATATACACAGATGACCTATGCACAGATAAAAGGTGGACTTTAATGACAATGTATAAATTGCTCAACAACCATTTACAGAACAGTGACCTCTTACATGAAATCAAATTTGTCGTCCCTTACTCATTCCCTAGGTTTAAAATAAACAATATATACCAAATTCCATCTGCCAAAACCAACCTAGGAGTTCAGGCACCTCTCGTTCGAATTCTTCGCGATTTCAACAAATTGAACACAGCGTATCCAGAGCTGGATATATTCGGTAGTGGGCTGATCGGTTTTAGAGAAAGCATTGTGGGGTGCCTTTCTAGAACCTAATTTCGCTGTTTTTCTGATGAATTTTCTTTTTTTTCTGCACAGTGCCATAGTTGTTGAAAATTTTATTTTATGTTTATGTTAAAAAAAAAATTGATTTTATTTTAATGTGTGCTTGCATTGTCGGTGTGTTTTAGTTGTGTTTTTTTTTTTTTAATTTCTATTTGATTTTTTTTTACTGAGAAACTTATGCTTGCATTAATTGTCACACATTTTAGATGTGGGATTTTGTGAAATAGTTGGTGGACTTAGGACTGTGTGTGATGTTGTGGGCTTGATAACTAAATAAATAAATAAATAAACAACTACATGGAAAGGATCAAGGGGAAGAAGGAGAAGAGAGTGCCCCAAAGAAAAGTGGATAGATGAAATAGAAACGGTAGCAGGACGCAAATGGAGAACGGAAGTCGTGTACAGAGTAAGTTGGAAAATGCTGGAGGAGGCCTTCACCCGAGAAGGGGCTCAGATGGACGGTACTGAAGGTAGCTAGGATATAACATACATTTATATATCAAATCTAAGCCGTATATTATTTTGTAATGAATGGAAATTAAACGAGCTTTTATTTTTATTATTATTAGGTTGGGGCATAACACAAGAAAGGTTTGGAAACACTGAGTTAGAGCCTTTGTCAATCTGTCGTTTCCTGCCCTTAGTCTTCTGTACTTAGAGTAAAAGCTGAAATTGAAAGTACAATTTTTTTAATGTGCTTTTACTTTTAAATATTTTATAACCACCATGTTTACCATAATAGTCATGTATTTTCGAAAATATAGCTTGTAACATATACTGTAGAATGTATCATAATAATATATAATATATCATATAATTGATGTGGTGATTAATGAATAAATACGATATCATCACAAAGCACTACTGTTTCATCGAGGGGTTTCCGTTTCAAACTTCAATTTATAAAATTTTGTTGAAGATACAATGCGACGTTTTCGTAATAAATTAAAAAAAAATGCAGTTTATTTAATGTGTTTATTAACAAGGCGTTTCTTAACTAATTATTATAAAACAATCAAGCGTTAATAATTAATATCTTCTAATGCTACTAATGATATAACCAAACATTTAACTACGCTCATACAAATTTTTGTACTACGGAAATTTAATACTATTAATAAACTAAGTAATAAATAGAAACAAGTGAAAGGCGACACCTACGTACATGAAATTTGTACCAATGTACGTAAACAATTTCTTTACAATTTGTGGTAACCTAGGTTTGACTTAGGTACCTAAAATGTTTACTAGTCTTTGGACTAGCAAACATTTTTAACAAGTTAGAAAACTTACAATGCCAAAGCATTCGAAGTTTTCTCATTTGGTCTCGCGATAAATTGTTAGTCAACCTTTTAGGTCTGCGCCTCAGATTTCTGTATTTGTTCCGAGACCATTTCTAATAGACAACCTTCTGTGTCTGACATATATCGATATATTTTTGAGTCTAAGGCGTTCGGATTCGTCGCGGTGTTCACTGTACGAGTGAGCGAGCACATAGAAAGTCTATAGGTGCACAGCCGGGGCTCGAACCTACGACCCCAGGGATGAGAGTCGCCCCTGAAGACATTAGGCCATCACTGCTCTGGTCAACAATACAATACATATTTTAATTTACACTTAATCCATTTTCATTTTATCAGAATTAAAAGCGTTAATACAACTTATTCATAAACCCAACCAGTTTTACCCAAATTATCCTTCTGCTATTGTCAAATCACATTAATAATGCTTTAGTTAAAACAGTTATACTTAATTAATTTATAAAGAAAACTTAAAATAACACACATTGGTATTAAAGTGACGTAATTATTAAAATTGAATGCTTGATGCTCAATAAAATGAACAAATTTCAATTATGATTGTGACAAGCTAGTAGGAAAGGTATTGGCAGTCGACAATCAAGTTATTCTAAATTAGTTTTACAATAAGGCTTTTAATGGAAACCTACAAAAACCCTGTAAAAAATAAACCAAAACGCTAACTGGCAGAAACATAAAATCGTAAACAATTACAAATTGTAAGAACATAAGAAGCGCTTTATGAGCGTATTTCAAACTGCAGGAAGAAAGGATCTTGCTCCCATCTAAAGGAAGGATCCTCGTTCAGTCTAAGTGACTGGTCTGTCCAAAGACCTGTCTATTTTTAAATGTAATCTTGCTGTTGTCAAGGCCCGATAGCTCAGCTCGGGCTGTTTGAGCGAGCGTAGCTCTGCCAGAATTGGGCTTTGATAGCATTAGGGCGTCCCCTGTGAGACTCGAACCTCGACTTTAAGGATGGAAGCTAACTGTAGTGAGAAAAGAACAAAGGATCCCGCCACCAGTGAAGGCAGTTTTTTGCTCTTATTTGAATCCTCAGTGTTTATAGTCGAGAGGTTGTGTATGACGTCATTGTAGAGATTTGTAGGTAATGTAGGTGTCGTTATAAAGTAAATTTGTAATAGTATATAAAGAAATTGTATGGAAATTGTTCGAGCTGTTGAAATTGACATCATCAATAAATATTAAATACGAAAGTAAATTAATATTAGTGATTAATGCTTTGGCAAATTCGTGGTAGGAACAAAGAACGTAAGTTAATAAATTCTAAAACGGATATTATACAGGCAAACAGCTGATTGTCAAGATGGGACCTTGAACTGTTGGATGGGGTGGCGATAATATGGGGTCATGTTGAACTGTTTTTCTCCCACACCAATAATTTGAAGAGAAATTCATTTCCTTACATCTATATATGTATATAAAAATTAATTGCTGTTTGTTTCTCTCGCTAAAACTCGATAATGGCTATGGCAATGGCAATTCAAGTAAGGTGTTTTAAAGCTTGGTGGGAAATAATAATTAAATAAAAATACAAAAATCGATAGTTGAATTTTCCAATAAAAACTGTTCCACTGTTGGGACATATTTGGTGTCTTTTGTTGTTTGAGTCGATTCCACAGTTTGCTAGTTCGCAAAAGAAAGTGCCTTGTCAAACGGACTGTGGAAGAATTCCAGCCATCCAGATGATGTGGATGAAATTTTGAATACGGCTAGTACGGCTCTTTGGTCAGTTTAAGAAGAATTGTGTTAAGTTTTGACACAGATATATTATTTAGGTGATACGAAGTTCAACGAGTATTCAATCTTACATTAAATATTCATCATTATTTTTTATAAAAATTCACAGTTGTTGGTTTTTAAGCTGCAACAATATAACACTCAAATATGATAATATGAGAAACTACAAGAACGTAGACCAATAAACAACGTTGAGAATAAAGAAGGAGAACGGAAAGAAGAATCGGGAGAAGCGATCGATGTACACAGCCGTCTCTCTCCCGTTACAGAATGTGTCGTATTGCGGGAGCGAGGCCGACGTACTGGCGCGAGGATCCACTGAAGTTGGGAAAATGTGCTGCAAAAAGTAAAAAGAAAAATTTGTAAATTTAAGGTCCCAGCAAAAATTCATTGAAAATGGCATAATAGAGCTGCAGCTCACTGCAGCAACACCAACCTTGAACGCATCCAAATCTCTCGAAAGATCTTCATCAGAATACCCCTTCATGACCTTCGTCGCTACTGGACCCATATAATTGTTGACCACAGCAAACTCGAAAAGAGACAAAAAGACGAAAACCGAACAGGAAGACATCCACACATCTATGGCCTTGACATATGAGACCGGAGGTAGATTTTGTTGAGATTGCGTGTTTTGTGTCGCTGAAAAAATTATAATTTTAAAATTATAATGTCTATAACCATTATATACTTATTATTATGTGCAACAGTAGTTTAACTCTTTTATTTATTTATTAAAGTTTACCACATTATACATAGTACTAAATCTACGGCATATGTTAAAAACTCTTTTATCTAAAATGCACCTATGACAATTTAAGTAAACATAAATGTTACAAGAAAAAACTATGAAAAAAATACTATTAAAATATATACATGATAAAATAAGAATACTATAGATTTAGTTAAGCAGAAAAAAAAATAAGATTATCAGCAAAACAGCGAATTAGGTTCGAGATAGGCAGTTAACAATGCTTTCTCTAAAACCGATCAGCCCACTACCGAATATATCCAGCTCCGGATAAGTACTGTTTAATTCGTTAAAATCGCGAAGAATTCGAAAGAGAGGTGGCTGAACTCCTGGGTTGGTGTTTGCAGAAGGAATTTGGACAATTTGGCTGATTTTAACTAAATATCCTATTTTATTATGTTTAATAAAGTTTATTTCTATGCAACGTACCATGAACTTCAAATAACCATAAAATGTTTTGGAGCCAGTTTTATAGTGTCCAAATAAATGGATGACAAAACTCTTCGCAAGCATAGAAGTAATTAAGAAATTACCTAATGTCAAAAGTGAAGTGACTCCCAAAGTGACCCGTGCGGGGATGGCTTCCGGCTTAATCCAGAATGATATCCAGGACATGACAACGATCAGCGCCGACGGTATGTAAGTGTGGAAGAGATGATAGCCCAGGCGTCGACGAAGGTTGAATACAATTGCTAAACAGGTGAAATTGCCTGCAAAGTAATGTTTGTCAACATTTACGAATATTTTATGTATGACATTGGTTATATTTGTTTTCATCTGATGTTAAGTGATACCGATGGACACTCTTAATGCCAGAGGGTCATGAGTGCGTTGCCGGCCTTTAAGAATTGGTACGCTCTTTTCTTGAAGGACCCTAAGTCGAATTGGTTCGGAAATACTACAGTGGGCAGCTGGTTCCACATAGTGGTGGTGCGCGGCAAAAATTGCCTTAAAAACGCTCAGTTGTGGAATGACGGACGTCGAGGTGATACGGGTGGAATTTCGTATTCTGCCTCGACGTCCGATGATGAAACTCAGCTGCAGGTATTAATGCGATAGAAGATGCAGAGTATTGTAATAGTATAGAATATTGTTTAATTGATATAACTAAAGCTACTCACTTTATTTATTTAGAAAACGTTGCATCTTACTAAATATACTGCTCAAAACAATTAGCGGAACAAGATTTTTCTCCTTTCTATTGCTTAAAGTAAATTAGATTTAAATTAACTTGTACGCTATTTTTTACCTTGTTAATTACTACAATTAATAAAAAAATTCAATTTGTATTTTTTTTATTAAAAAAAAATTAAAATGTGCATTGTAGACGAAAAACTAATTGGTGATAAAAAAAGGTCCATCAAAGAAATATTCTTATATCGTTTGAATATTCGTCTTTAGTGACTTTCAGTAACGTGTGTGGCCTCCATGAGCCCTAATCACGGCTTGACAACGACGCGGCATGCTTCGTATGATCCTCCGAATATCTTCTTGTGGAATTCGCTCCCATTCTTCAATCAACGCTTCAGTGAGCTGCTGCAGTGTTTGAGGTGCAATCGGACGCTTACGGATGCGCCTGTCAAGCAAGTCCCAAATGTGTTCAATTGGATTTAGGTCAGGGCTCATGGAAGGCCACTCCATTACACGGATTTCCTGCTGTCGTAAGTAATCTGACGTGATGGCTGCAGTATGCGGCCTGGCATTATCTTGCATTAAAAGAAAATCTGGGCCCATACCATATGCTGCGGGCCAAACATGATCTTCGAGCACATTTTCAATGTAAGTTTGAGCACACAAGCGCCCGGGAACAACGACGAGATCTGTGCGCTCGTCCAAACTAACTCCGCCCCAAACCATCACAGAGCCACATCCAAATTTGTCATATTCCTGGACTGCTGCTGCACTGTATCGCTCGCCTGGGCGTCTGTAAACACAGAGACGACCATCGCAACGTGTTAGACGGAATCGTGATTCGTCAGTAAAAAGCACTGGCCTCCAATGTCGAAGTTGCCAATTAGCGTGATTTTGCGCGAACTGTCGGCGAGCTTGTCTATGTTGAATTGTTAGACGCACAGCCCGAACTGGTCGGCGTGATCTCAAATTGGCTTCCAACAACCTATTTCTTACCGTCTGGTCGGAAATTTCTACACCAGTAGCCGTCCTTAGTGTATTTTGTAGATCTCTTGCAGTTGTGGTGCGGTTACGTAAAGCACAGTTGACGATGTAGCGATCTTGCAAACGTGTAGTTTTTCTCTTTCGACCTTGACCACGCCTTCGTGAGTATTCTCCCGTCTCACGGTATCGCTTCCAAAGTCTGTAGATAACAGAAGGGGCTACTCCTAGATCATTTCCTACATAACGCATAGTTCGACCCACTTCAAGCAAAGCGATAGCTCGGGAGACATGCAATTCAGTCAGATCTGGCATTATGACCTAAACTCACTCGCTTCAATGAATAACAATACTCAAAAGGCTCACTTCAATTTCTATTAATACTCAAAAGATTGAAAAAAAACCACTTAAAATGTGTTTTCTGTGATTAGAAAGTAATGAAAATTCAAAGACGTCACTTTGTTTTTAGGTGTTTCTAGACACACTGCCACTTTATTATAGGACTACTAACCAAAACGCCGATGCTCTTTTGTTTTTTATTTTCTTCGACAATGCCTTAACATTATCTAGTGGCAAGTAATAATTAAAACCTTAAGTAAAAAGTTTAGTTCTACTTTAAAGTTTTGTTCCCGTAATTGTTTTGAGCAGTATATAATACAAAATAAGTATTAAGTCAAAACGCCAATTAAAAGGTATACAGACTAAAGTATAGTATATGTATGTGTTCAAATCGGCTAGATTCAGTGGCATTAAATGTCTGATAGTGTTCTATATAATCGTTTTAGTCTAAGATTTAGAAGCTTACGGCGTAGAAGTGTATTAGCCCGATTATTTTGGCGTAAAACTATTAATAAAATTATGTCATTAAAACGAAAATATAGAACAATATCAGACATTTAAAGTCACTGAATCTAACTGACTATAAATGTCTGCACTGTGTGACATTTAAAGGTACGTTTTATTAAGCCCATTAAACAGTATTTTTCAAGAATAAATCAACGTTTCGTAGCAATTACGAATGATATTTACATGTTAGCGTTGTCTTTCCTATGGATTTCACAGTCCATAGTATTTCCGTACTAGTAGGTACAAAGCTAACATTTTTCTATTTTAATAAAAAAAAAATCTTAAGGGTCTTTATAAAGGAAGAAAATGTATAAAGGGCTTATGAAATAACTTCACCTGTAGAATATTCAATAGTGCAATCAGAAGTATAATTATTTGATATATCCAGCTGTGGCAGCTCTATTTCTGGATTGACGACAAGCGGATCTGTCAGGTTCCATATAAACACCAGATCATGTACCGTGTGCGATACTGAAACAATATTTCATAATAGTGACTGTGTATAATCATCAATTCCAAATTTTATTTTTATAAGTTTTTAGTCATACCCTGAGAAAATTGTACCAGACGTACAAATATAGATATATAATTTAGAAGAGTTGTGCTGAGATCTATGTTTTATTCTATTGCAACTGCAATTGTAACAAATTATTGAAACTAAACACAGAATAATATTTGTGAATGAAACATTTAAAAAAAAAATGTTAGGTTTATTTATTTATTTATAAAAGCTTGCCAACGCTTGGCACACTGATAAATTGGTACTTAAGTAAAATAAAATACAAGATTTATTGTGAGAAGCACTTACCACAACAAAACATACACGAAGAAATAAAAAATTATAATTATAAACACTGAAGGAAAATCGATTTCAAAGTGCGAGGATATCCAGATATAGCTCGTTTATCAGAATACTCAATCTGGATATCGGTGAGTTTTGACCAAATCACGTTCTTCTGAAAGGAGGGACAAATGGGATGATGGGATGTCTGGGGTGTCTAGAACACGAAATTTAAATTTAGTTAAAAGAGATAATGGGCATAAAAGTTAATATTAAGAGACTTCCGTTTGTAAAAATCAAGACATATTAGACAAGAGTCTACTATTTATTTATTTATTTATAGTAATCGACGTCATCGTCGATTACGAAATAAATTTGATGAGAATCGTTTAATTTGACGGCTCATTGGTCTAGTGGTTAGTACCCCTGACTGCGAATCCATGGGGTCGATCCCCGGCTGAGACAAACATCGATGTGATGAGCATTTGGTGTTGTGCTAAGGTCTTGGGTGTTCCGCGATAGCTTAAACAAGTCAAGTCTTCAATATTGGTCGTTGTATGTCCGGGCTGCGCGATACAAACCTGAGTCTTTTGCATAGTTAGTGTTAATGTGAGGAACATGAAACACGATTACAACTACTACTATCATTACAATACACGTCCTCATCAAAAACGCGCGAATCAATTAAACAGTGTTTTTATTGTAAATTTAGCTTGTAAAGGCTCGTAAATAAAATCGTAACTCATAACAGCTTTTCTAAGAAAGCAGCCAAATATAGCCAGACGAATTTATGTGGTCTGGCTGAGATCTTTGACGTTAAATTGTATACTTACAGCTCTCTATCATCATAGAACAGCTTTGAGTGTCATGGGGATACGATTCAAACTTCATTGCACACGACAGGACCAGAGTCAATCTGTAATTTAATTTAATTTTAATTATGCTCTCAAACATAACATGCTAAAATGAGGACAATCAAATACTTATAAAAATACTAGCTGCCCCCGCGAACATTGTTTCTCCTTAATGTGATTTTACTTAGCCTACCTTTTTAGTACATACCAACATGGAACATTTTGCTATGCTACCCCAGAGACTGCTCGGTTTTTTCGGTATGAAAACTTTTTCTGTGGTGAAGGTTGTTCTGTGAATTTTTCTCTATATATAAACCTCTAGGTAGGTTTAGGTATGGCATGCCATAAATTTTTAATTAACAAATAAAAAATATGGGTTTATCGTAGAGGGGTGAAAATTAAGGGTTGTATGTATTTTTGTACGCTGTATCATAAAAAAATAATAAAAAATTTTTTGGGGTGGACACCCCTTATCACTTAGGGGTTTGAAATATAGATAGTAGCCAATTCTCAGACTTACTGAATATGCATAAAACATTTCATAAGAATCGGTAGAGCCGTTTCGGCGGAGTATGTGAACGAACATTGTGATACGAGAATTTTATATATATAGAGATGTTATAAAAAGGCATGCAACTTCCTCACAATTGAGTAACCCTCAATATCGCACAACTCCCGAGGGGATATTTTGTTTCGAAGAAGTTACATGGGCCCGCCAAGCATCCGCGACTATACAATGTAAATACATATCAATTAGTTGGGAATATAACAAAGCACAAGAAAATAATTTGCCTTCTGTGTTACCAACCACGACCAGTTTCTCCAAGTTCTCATTGCCTCTGTACATTGTATGGCCGAAATAAGATACAATTCGCCTGTCTACCATAGACAGGCGAATCCATATGCGGAGTTGGGTCAGGATCGATATATTGGTGCGCTTCTCCACGGCATTTAAGCATTTGCCGCCAGCATAAACCATAGACACAAACTAATATATTCACATACTTAGCCATATACAGGAGAGTCTTGTCATGATACAGCCACAGATAATGATTCGGGATGCTCATTTCGTGGAAAGTGACTTTTTTCGCATTCTTGAAGAAGCAGTCTGGTCGCCAGATATTGTTTAGCCACTCAACGTCGAGGATTCTATACTCCTCGTGCATGTTCTCCGGGAGTCGTAGCCTTGGATCCCGCCAGGACTGCGCCAGAAATATGTCTGCTACGTATGTCTGGAATACATATAGCTAATATTTAAAGTATGTTTAATAACGGAGCTTCTTTTAATTGTCATTCTCACAATGATTCCAACTTGGGGGTTTTCCCGCCAAATTTAGGGGGAAACAAGAAGTCCTGGGGGTCTTTTAAGTGGTACATTTGTTTAGGGGGATTTTTAGGGGTAGGTGCTTTATTCAAGAAATTTATGTTATTATATTTGAAATTACCTCGTAAGCCGAGTGCCAACAACAAAAACTTTAGGGGTTGTTAATCGATATTTAGTCGTTTTTGAAGTTAGTTCCAGAAGAAATTGGCTTCAGTGCAGTCTTATTAAGTCATCGACTAACTTTGCATAATTTAGCATATAATAAACGGTAATATCAATAAAAATGGATGCATTGATGGCCGACAGTGTGCGACTCTCATCCTTGAGGTCGTAGGTTCGAACCCCGACTGTGCACCAATATACTTTCATTCTATGTGCGCATTTAACATTCGCTCGAACGGTGAAGGAGAACATCGTGAGGAAACCGGCTTGCCTGCGACCCAAAAAGTCGACGGCTTGTGACAGGCATAGAAGGCTGATCACCTTGCCTATTAGATTAACAAATGATCATGAAACCGATACAGAAATCTGAGGCTCAGACCTAATATAGCGCCACTGATTTATTTATTTACTATGGATGAGAAACCATAAAATTTATAGAAAATTATGTGATAATACAATGTGTATGGTCCCATAATCAAATATTTATTATCTGGTTCATTCGAAGGCCTTCTTGCTTAAGCACCATGTACGCCAAGGCTGTACATTTTGCTCACTCAGGCTTTCTTAGTTTTATAAGCGTGGCGATTTCCTAAATCGTAGGAGATACGCTCCGAGAGTACCTAAAGCAAGATGTAGGCTCTCTCTTCGACTGTTATATTCATTCATTCGTTACATAGCAATTAACAGTTCATTATTTCGCTTATATTCTATTGTTGTACGTGGTTAATATAGAGTAAAAATAAAATCCTCTATTATTTAAAGCACCCCGATGACCCAGGAACCGTACACACTAAATGTATACTAATTGGTAATAGAATAATCCCATCTAGGTAAGATTAGCTTTGGCCCGAGTACACTTAAGCGTAATGTCATAAGAAGCCAAAGGAATTCAGCCAAATTGGCCGAAGTAATCCATATTTAATTGTTCGTAAACTCTATACTAGTTCAACGATACGTCAACGGTCCGTCTCTAAGCGACATTTGATATAAGATATGGTAAAAATAAATTTATTCTTATGCTTAAATTTTTACGAAGAATGTCAAATTTATAATGTATAAGAATCTCAAGCCATTAATTTTATTAAATAAAATTTAATTCACAAGACTCTGGTCAAACGGTATAATCCCCACTATTTGTTATTATTTATTTATTTGGGTCACACACGATAAGGTAAATATTTTTTTTTCTGATATAATTCAATGTTTAAAATGTAATAAAGAGTGACTTCAGACAAATTCTTCCCGACTAAGGTATAAAGGAACAACACACTCGAAATCAGGGCCAGATTTAGCAGGGCAACAGGGTAATCTAGAGCCCCAAGGCCGCCAAAATAAAGCCTTCAAAAAGAGAAATTTTCTACATTTACCTGCAGTTCTTTGTACAAACATGATTACATTGTTCTTAAATATTAACACGAATCTTTGATCTCAACCGAAAAAAAACCGTTCATTCGAAAATAAATTTGGAGCCAGGTGGCTTTTAAAACTCTAAATTCGGCTCGAAAGTCGCAACCCTTCCTGATGAACATGCGGCGACCTTACCTACTCTGCTCTGTGTCCCATAGTTATATTTTCACGGAAATACACCCCATTTTATTATTTGATAAAAAGTTACGTACCATACTCTCTTCATTGATAGAATCCAAAGACAATACAGTGACATGGAAATAGACAATTGTAGGCTCGCCGAGGGACTTTGGAGCCCTGTTCTTGTCGTAATACTTGGCTTCAACGGGTAATATGTCACTTAGAGAGAGACTGGTTTCCCCTTTAAACTCCATTTCTTGATATGATGCATTTGATCTTAAAAACAAATTTCATTCTTAAAAAATATATACAAGAGTTACTTCATTTTTTTTTTTTGGAGTTTATGGCCTGGTATCTAGACCTTTAAGCCAAAAGAGTTACTTCAACGCATTAAAATTTCAAGATTAACTTGTGCCAGGCATAGAAAACTGATTTCATAGATAAACAATATAATATATGAAACAGAAAACATAAGTAAGTAGTACACAAAAACACATAAAAATAAAAAAACGAGTGTGTACTTATGTACACGCGTTAGAAGTTAAATACTTCTTTGGCGTAACATGATAAAAATCTTTTGAAAAACATTATTTTAATTTTATTTTGTAGAAAAAACTAAAATGTTGACTTCTAACTAAAACTAAAAACTTCAGGGTGTAGGTTTTTTGTGACGGTGTGCGCGCGCATCGTAAAAATTTACTCTCATAATTTTTCCCTAACGCGCCAAAAGAAGTATAACTTCAAAAAAAATAAAAAAATCTGAAATTTAACATTAAATAAACGACAATTAATACTTAATATTTCAATGAAAAATTGTTACTGCTAAACAAAGTGAAAATCTTCCCGCCTCTTCAAATATTTCCTCACATCCTCTTTGGTGAGGTGGAAAATATTAATATCCTCATAACAAGTTTCATAGTTCTTGTTCGTACGAGGAACATGGAATCATTGTGAGTATCTTTCGCATACGGGGGAGGGAAATTAACGACAGCAAATAGAAGCTATCTATCCGCCAATTAAGAATATCGTGCAAAATTAATAAGTCTTGCTGACTCCGCCGACATTCTATTGAGTCTAAAATAAAATATTTGCAAGAATCTGCATAACTATCGAAACATTGATACTGTTTAAAGTAAGGAATTTCACAAACATTTTTTTGTACATTTTCGTCAGCTTTATATATTTTATATCGTATGGAGAACAGATGAAACTTGCATACCAGCACGCTTCTGACATAAGCAAAATAAATGCTTTTTATACAATTTATGTTTTTAAATGACTTGCATGGCCGCTTGACAAAATATCCTAATTGCTTATATGTTTTTCATACAATATTTGCTAATAACTTATTATCAGGCGTTTGTGAATGATTGTAAATAATAAATAATCCAAAATTCGTCGACACGAACTGTCATTTTCATACAAATTAAGTTTTCGACTTTCTACATACACTAAGTTAAGGCATCTTGACTAAGCCCCCCGCGCCACAAAGGTATTTTATTCTACATCTGTTTAAAGATAATATAACCCAAACAATTTTCACAGAATCAAAAATCAATGGGGGTAAACATGTCGGAATACTTACAGAAAACTGACAGCAGCTTGCACTCTACCAGCGCTTGATATCCGCAACAGCAAGAGCAACATAGATGAAAACGCATACATGTCCACTTTCAGTTTCATTATCACACCAACAACGTTATGTCAACTCTGCATCTTTTATTGGATTAATCACCTTTTGAACTAGAAAACAAGGACGTACATATTCCGATGGGAATCGTAGAAATAATCAAAAATAATTATTTTTTTTGTTTAAAAATTTTAGATATGGTAGGGCTATGTAGGGACCATTGCGTGTATACAGCACTAAACAACCATAATTCGTAGACTTTGTATATATTTTTTTTATTAATGGTGGTAGTCAATTAATTCTGTACTTGTAGTACGCGACTCGACTTTTAATTATCTATTTTACAAAGACAAATATCCGAATATATTTAATACTAGTAGACTCGGTCAAGCGTTGCAAGGCTAAGATTTTTGTTATATTACATAGTAGTAAACTATTTAACAGAAACGGCAGGAGAACACCAATCCACCATGCTTTTTTGGTGGTTATGCCATTAAATTGTAGCTTATGTGAAACGTTGGTATTTATTTTGATAAGGATCAATACGTACGAATAGGTACAATAGGTACGAATAAAGAGCCTTTTCTAGCGGTCCAGTAGTTTCGAAGCCTATTCATTTCAAACAAACAAACAAAAATCAAATCTTTCCTCTTTATAATATTAGTATAGATATGAGAACTTGCGAACTGGTAGTAAATTTCGAATCAATTTATCATCTTTTCTGTTGACGTTCATAAGTGTACTTGTTTACCTATATGAATAAAGTTATTTTGAGTTTGATATAACGAAATATAGCTAAACTACCAATTAAACAGGAATCTATCTTATTTTCTTTCATATGAATTTAAGAGAAGTCATAGATACGCATTAATCCTTTTGAGAAAAGTCTGTAGCTAAGGTTGTACCAAATGACGTAATTAAAAACTAGTTTAAACCAAGCAATTACATAATTCTGGTTTAAATTAATTTATACAGGATTTTAAGAAATAACACTGACGGTGTCACACGAGTCGAGTAATGATGATTATTTAAAACGTCTAGTACCTACTCAAAGAGAATATTATTTTAATATATGTATTTGCAAACTAATTAATGATTTACAAAAGTCTGTGACAATTGCCGTAAGAAAGAATTTCCTATAAATTTATAATAAAAAATAGCAATAAGCATGTCTTCACCGATCAATTACAAGAAAACCAGCACCTACTTAGGATTAACTTTCAAAATAGTAACCAGTAAGTGCAATAAGCAATTACTGTTTTCTTGTTAAAAAGAAACTAAATTTATTATTATAGTATGTTAATCATTAATTAATAAATACATTACATAATATTTTAAATTGATTGTGTTTAATTCAAAATATCTTACGCCATCAAAAACACCACTTCACACCCACTAAAATAACAATAAAAACAAAAATTCTAAACAAATTTCACGTGAAAATATAAAGGAATGTTGCTGTGAACTGTCTACATTGGCTAGGCTACTTAGACACAGATATCATTTGTACGGCTTCTTACACATAATACAATTTAATATGTGGAATATATGAATAACTTTGGATACTTCTTTGAATTTCTTCTTCCTCCACGCTTTTCGCTCGTACAGCGGGTCCTATCCCAGTTTTATCCCCTTTGGTGCTAATGGGAATGCGTCAATGCATTCGATTGTATGTTTTTGTGATAGGGAACAACCACATATACGCCGACAAATATCCAAAGCGAAAATCGTCTCATTTTTGCGTTACCAAAATTCGTATAACGAAACGTGAATACATTTTTCGTCGGGATACTTCTTCAGTGATATTTATAACTAGATAAGCTTGTTATGAAAGCTAGTTTCTAATCAATCAAATACAATGTTGCAAGCCTATTAATAACTTCATTTATAATATAGCAGAAAGAAATCCTGTAGGCATGGTAGTGACACACACATCACGAATTATTTTTTCGAGTGCAAAAGGAGTGAAACATGGTTTGATTCATTAGGGAGTTTCAAATGCATATTGCATATATCGGCTTTGGAAGATATATATTTGGCATACGTTCTATGTTTAGGTACAAATTAAGTATGAGCTATCTGCTATGCGTGTTCCACTGTTTTTTTTCATTGATAATTGGATAGCATAGCATAGCATTAAATTAAAATAATAAAAACGTTACTCATGACAAATAGGTTGTGACAAAATTCACTACTAGGGTAACTAGATAATAATTAGTCAGTGGTACATACTCTACAACTTTATAACAGTTTCTTTGAGAAAAAGTAGGTTTACTACTAATCAAACACAAGTCTCATAAGACATTAAGTATGTGTATATGTGTAAGTGTGTGAATGAGTGTGTGTGCGCATGTATTAAGAGTTGTTAAAAGTATTTTTTGTAGAACAAGGGGCAAACGGGCAGGAGGCTAATCTGATGTTAAGTGATACCGCCCATGAACATGCCGGAAGGCATAAATGATTATTAAATGACGGTATACTTTTATATAATCTACCATGCGTAACAAATTCCTAGTACATAGAATATTATGCATATATTAAGCCCATGTTCGGTAGGATTACAAAGGTACAAAAAAAAACCTTACAAAAATATGTTTTGACCGCAGTATGTAATGAGATTAGCTTCGGCCTTGCACCACATAATTGTCACCCTCACCTACTAGCATGGATGACGCATCGAAACGTGTACACATGTTATAAATGCCAAAACAGCTTAACCAATTTTTATGGCCTTTTGCTTAAGGGGCCGTTCAAGTATTTAAGCAGATTTACTATCCCCCCCCCCTTCCTCTTTTCCGCAAAAGCTCTCAAAAATAATAGTACATAAACGTATTATTTTTTTGTAGGAATCCTCGAAAATGCATTTCGATTTCAAGCATAGACAATGTGTGGGTAATAAAAAAATAAATAATTACTGTTGAGGTAATCGCCAAATAAGAAAATCCCTCTAATTTAGAAAATGGAATATTTAAAAATTTGCTGAATCATGAAATCTGAATGTATGCTAAAAAAAACCTACCAAAATTTTTGCTAGTCGTGTGAAAGGCTGTGGGTTTGAATGCATGGGAAAAAACTATAATCTTGACCGAGATTTGTTCTGATAATAGGAACGGTTGCCTTTCAAACCTTTTAAATGCATAAAATAAAATAATAACAAAAAAAACATAAGTTTTAATTTTTTTCTGTACGACATTACTATTAGAATATAATAAATAGAATATTTTGTGTACAAGTGTGTAATTAAAGAAAAAATAATTACATAAACTTTTTTTTAATTTGACTTATATTTCATACAGGTTTTTTGTGAATATTAACAATTATAAAAATTAACGAATAAAACAGACGCAGAAATGTCTGCCCTCATGACTTGTTGGGATTTATGGCAACTGATACAACTTATAATTCATTATCGCTTTTCTTCCCTGTCCCATAGATCCGTTGACACAAATTATAGAAATCCCACTTTTGTAATTTTTCCGGATTTTCCTTGAACATCATTCTGTATTGTGCGCGAATGTTCATCATTTTATTCGAACAATCCAACGGAGATTTCTTCAGAATATCCGCCGCTTCCATCCATAGATAGCTCCGCACACATTCTGGATTTTTAAATTTATCCAAATGCGCTAAGTACCAGGTTAACAGTCTCTCTGTCTCTGTATCTGTCCAAACAGAAACTTCGGAGGCATCTATCTTAAACAACTTCTCCTTCTCTGATATCTCCTTTAGCAGATCTTCAAAAGGTGTTCCAGTGGTGAATAAATGATTGAGCTTCTTATTAATTACATCCGCTGGTTCCGATATTAATCCAGCAAGTTCCGACCACATTAGATCTTGTAATTGGGGATTAAGAAAATCCTCAATGTTTTTTAGATAAAAAACCAAAGCCGCTTCAATTTTCTCATCACTCAAGTCAACGGCTTTCGGTTTGTTTTCACGTGGAATAATTTTTGTGAAAATTTGCTTATATTTCATTTCATTTTTCCTATATCTGTTCTTTAGTAATATATACATCTTTTTGCACGAAATTGCCGATTTTCCGTCCATTTCCAAAGATATCTCCTTCCACATTTGCTTTGGAATAATCTCATCGTGGGATATTAGGTATTTTAAATATAGATTTAATAATTTCGTTTTAGATTGTCTATTCCATATGATATTTGATTTTGATTCGCTTTTGATGGCCTTGTCTTCATTTGGGTAAATAATTTGAGCTTGGGATATATCTTGTCCTTCTGGTATAACTATTAAACATTGAAAATCATCATCTGGAAAATAAAATCATCAAGTAGCAGAGAGGTAATAATGAAGTGATTATTAACAGAAATACAAAATTGTTTTCGTTATATGCAAAATCATGAAGACATACATATTATTATATATATCGCTCACATAAAATGTTATTATTACTTTCTTTTTCGAGTATAAATTTCAGATGCATGGCCATTTTTAAAATAGACTTTGGAATGACTTGTTTTATGTTTCGTATATTTTGATTAACAATGTAATCTGTTTTGGCTTTGTATATTGTTTAAGTGTATTCTTTTAAAGTAATATGGAAATGTGTAGCTGTAAGATTACTTATAAATAAATAAAGTAATAACAAAAATATACTTGAATTGTTTTTTTTGTAAATTGTAATAATAATAATTTTCTAAGTCTAAAACTATTTTTACTTCTAATGGCAGTGGCTTAGAGACCCTAAAACCTCTAAACCCAGACCTGTGTACCAATGGACTTTTCTGTGAACAATTAACACATATAGAAAAACGAACACCAAAAACGACAATTGAATTTTCTAATATACAACTATTCCTAGTTGGAAAATAGTTGATGACTTAAGTCACTTCGTTGTTACATATTTATAAATGCCTTCAAAAATTTGTGTTTCATACCTGTAGTATTAGGTTCGATCTTTTTGATGTGTACTAAACATTTTGTATTAAGTTTTGACACAAATATACGAAGTTCACTGGGTCATCTAGTAATAAGATAAAAATGTGTTAACTTACCATCTTGCACTTCCATCTTTATATCTGCCACCATATCTCTTGTATATATTTTATCCATAACATCAAAGTATTTCCATGACACCCTTTTTTCTGGATTATTGCTTTTCATTGTTTTTAACTTCCTATAACATTTTCTCAATTCAAAATATTTATCCAAACAAGCCATTGCAGTATGACCAGTTATATTTGCAATTTCTTCCCATCTCCATTTCTCCTCATTACCATCATCAAAGTTAGCAGTAGCAAAATTTATCAGTTTAGTTATATCTTGGTGCGACCAATCTTCTGTATCATTTAAAATATTGTGACTTTTCAGTTTGGCCTTTACTGCTCTGTAACCAAAAACTTTCTTGCATATTGTGAAATATGGCCATACTATTGGCAATTCCGGTTTTGTAATTTCTCTTTGGACATGATTTAAATATATCTGCTTGAAGTTTCTGAATCTATGCGCACACTCTGTGGCCGATATTCCAATTTCCTTTGACAATATCTCCCATAAGGCAGCCTTTTTATAATTTGGGGAATTGAATTTATCCTTATTTTTAAGGTAATATTCTAGGATTTTTATTCCTTTTGCCCTTCCTATATCACGTTTGACACGGGTCGTAAAACCTCTTTCGTCAAATCTTATATCATCATTATCAATATTTTCAAAATAGTTATCTTCGAGGTCCTTCATGTTTATTTTCTTAACTGAAAATCAAATTAAAATATTAGATAGTAAGCTTGTGTTCAAAAATTTACCATGGAGTCTCCCGTTTAGGCCTACAGTAAATAAACAAATAACCACATAGGTAATAATTGAAATGCAACTTACAACATACAATTACACCAACAAAGAAGTATTATTCCTATTTCCAAAGAGTATAGAATTAAATCATTTCTGAATAAAAAGGGCTTTGTATTCTGTCAAAAATTAATGCTTATATTAAACTGCATTTGCAGAGAGGTAAAATTCATAGAACACTACACTACACTATACATTTCAAAAGCTCTGATCAAAGATAATATTTTCTTCCATACTATTGCGATAGGCCAGGAGTCTCATGGAGGTCATGAAACCCTGCCTAGCAAGCCTGGACAGGGACAAACAATAGGTCATGTTAATGGATATTTATAGATGCTGTATAAAAATGATGGGTCATTTTAGTAGCACATATAAACACCAGGGCGGCCAACTTCTTACCTTCAAGTTTTGCAGGTAGATTTTGTTTCTTTTCAACTTTTTCTTTTTTATATCCATCAAGTAAATGAACATCCATGCCATAATCAAATATGACATCAAACATATCAATATAACGCCAATCAATTTGAATTTCAGGATTCTCTTTTTTGTCATTTAAAATACTCTTATATACATCTACTAAATTATCCCACTGATTCTTACACGATACTACTCCACAGTTTAACTTAATTGTTATAACAGATAAGCATACATAATAGCACACTGGATCCTTAACTAAGTTTATGTTATCATAGACAAATTGGACAAGTATGTCTAGTAATTCCATATCCCAATCTTCAAGGACCTCAGAATTATTTTCTAAGTCCTTTAATGTTTCTTTATATATAATATTATCCATGATTATTTCCCACGTAAGACGTTCAGATAAATTGTAATCACCCTCCAATAATTTTTCAAAATGTTCATTTTTTACTGAATTAAATTTTTCATTGCAATTTTCTGCTGGTTTCTCCAATAACCGTCCAACATCATGCCAGAGAAAATCATTCGGTATGGTAGGATCGTGGAATTCATGCAGACAATCAAAATAATATTTACAAAGGAATGTTTTTTCAGTTTCATTCCATTCCATTGTTTTTTCAGTTGGGGTGTTTTCAACAATAGCAAATTTTTTCTGAAATTCTTCATCATTCGCAAAAATTTGATCAAAATGCCTCATATAAGGCCAATGAATTCCGTCATCTCCACTGTAAATTCTTTTATGTAACATTTTGATGTAATGTTGCTTATAATTTAAGAAACGCTTGTACCAATAGTCAACATCTTTTTCATTCATATCCCTAGCAATCCTTTCCCATATAGTTTTTGTATTAATATTATTAGCATAAATATTTTTATACTTTAAATATAAATTAAGCATCTTTTCAACACTGGTATCCATTGATTTTTTTATTGGGGTTTCTTTCTTAATGCTTTCACTATCTTTATTTGATACATTTAAGTACATATCTATTGGATTTTCATCTTGAAATGCTTTATGGCAAAGATTGTAGAATGGCCTTTGTATGATAACTTGCTCTAGCTTATCAGAGTTTATGAGGAAATATTTTTCTCTAAATTCCCTGAGTTTGTATTCACACGAGAGTGGCTGTTTGCCCAATAGCATTGTTTTACAAGCAACAGCCCACAAATGTTTCTTTTTAGCTGTACCACTTTGAAATGTCTCTTTGTTATCAATATAAAATATAATAAGACGTCTGATTTCTTCATCTGTCCATTGCTCAGAAGCAAATTGCTCACTAGCTTGAGCCAAGTCAAGTTCGTCAGCTGACTCACTTTCTCCGGTATCCTCAATTACATATTTTGTTTCTGATATCATTTGTATATCTTCTTGTTGTTCATTTTCTACTATACCAGCAGCTGACTCAACTACTTGTTGATTATCTGTAATTATTTGTTCTAACATAAACATCAACAGAGATCACCAACTTTAACAAATTAGATTTGAATACAATATTTACTGCAAGAATGCGTATTAAATATATATAGTATTAAATATATATATAATATATAGTATTGATTGATTAATAATGAAACTCACCATCAACATAATATAGTAGAATATCACCATTTGGGTGGATTTCTGTTTTCATAACTAACTGATCTAAATCCATTATTGATCGATTTGTCCCACTTATCCGCCCAAGACCAGTATAGTTGTAATTAATTCATTTCATAAAAAAACCTGCCATGAAATATTTTATTAATTGTCTTTAGTTTGTTAATATTAATAATTCTTGAAAACATTAAATCCCATCAATGATCAAAAAGCGGTAAAATTAAATGATGAAAATCGGAAACATTTGCAACCATAACCTGCCGCAGTAATGCTATTTAATTTTTTATTGTCTTATACCGTCAAACTTATACTTTCACTATTCTATTTAATGTTTATTTATATTTCAAAATTATATTAAACAAAGTTTTAGCGTATATATTTACAAAATTCTTGTTTTGATAAAATCACCACTAACTCCGCCATTACGTCACAGACCATACAATAGATCATAAATCATAATGTTTTTGGTTCTTACTTCTTAAGTGCCCTGTAAACGATCAAATTGTTTGTCAAACTTCACGTTTTCATCAAACAATAGCTTAAACGATCAAACCAAATATCAATCAAATTTGTTAAATTTCTAGTAGATTCTGGTTTCTCCTTTCGTGACGTGACGTCGCCGTGCCGTGCGCGAGTAATTCAGATGACGCATTTTTGGCATTGACTCTAGCACTGTGTATCAAGACAAAAAAAAGAAGACGATGGAGTCGAGAATGGTTGAAATTAAGAGATAAATATACCAACGAGAATTTGCTACGGGAAATATTGCGTACAGAACCTGAAGACTACGCAAACTTCCTGCGCATGGACCATAAAACTTTTAAAGATTTACTGACTATACTTCGTCCTCGTATTGAAAAAAATAAAGTTCTTGTCCATATAATCTTTTGATTTTATTTTCCATAACATCGGCATATCACGATAAACAGATATGAAATGCAACGTAAATTCTTTGTCTAAAGTGCCCTGTAAACGATCAAATTGTTTGTCAAATTTTACGTGTTTGTCAAATTATTTGATAGTGTACTGCTGTGTTTGAGGCGTTTATCAAACAATCTACGTGTTTGTCGTGTTTGATGAAAATCTGGATTGATGTCGAGTTTGACAAACAGGTTTGAACGTGTACGGCGGTGTTTGTCAAACATCATCTCACTCGTTGTATTGACATCATGGAGGATGCTACGCTCAGTGACGATATGAGTGGCAATATTACGAACAAATAATTTAAGTTGCATTTCATATCTGTTTATCGTAATATGCCGATGTTATGAAAAAAAAAAATTAAAAGATTATATGGACAAGAACAAGAGAATTTATCTCTTAATTTTGTCTTCTTTTTTTTGTCTTGATACACAGTGCCAAAATGTGTCATCTGAATTACTCATTGTAAGCGCTCGGCACGGCGACGTCACGTCACGAAAGGAGAAACCAGAATCTACTAGAATTTTAACAAATTTGTTTGATATTTAGTTTGATCGTCTAAGCTATTGTTTGATGAAAACGTGAAGTTTGACAAACAAATTTGTCAAGCAAATTTGATCGTTTACAGGGCACTTTAGATACGGTTTTTACATCTATGCGTGTCAAATTTACGGTCAACATAATATTATATAACGTCGCTTAGCTAACAATACCGCATAAGTCAGATTTGCTTAGTTTTCAGGAGAGACAAAAAACTGTATTACTTTAACATTTTGTACAATACATGCATGATAAAAATTTCAATATATTGTATTTAGTTAAGCATGATAACTATAAAAACAAATAAAAGAAATATCGTCTTATTAGGTCATTTTCAAGACTTGAGCAGTTTTACTCTAACAAAATAAAGACTTACGCAGTGTTTTTACCTTTTATTTTTAAGCTCTATAAGTCTTTCATAGAAAATCTTTCTATGAAAAACTATCGAAATAAAAACATTTTTCAAAAACAGTTTTATAAAACTAATTATTAACTTCAATAAAATAAAAAAAGATTGCTAAATTAGCTTTTTATAAAAAAAAACACATTTCTTTGCCGTTTTATTTTCTTATTCCAACAGGACAACCCTTGCCGGGTTCGCTAATATTATAATATATGAACTCACTGACTTTTACGACTGTACTGTTTGACGAGATCAACTACTTACCTACTGAGATCAATATAATTATCTAAGTTACAATGGAAACCAGAGGTGGTTTGCTTTGTAATTTAGGTAATTTTTTCCATGACTTCTAATAATTCTAAACTCTCAAAAACTTTAATGAAATGGTACATTTAACACAAACAATACAAGACAATATGAACACTTCGAATACTTAACCTACTTCTAAAAATAATACAAAATATTTATGGATCTAATAATGAAAAATATTTAATTTTTATAAGGTAACTCGTCATAATATGCGTGGCAGTTCGAAGGTATCACTGCCTTTAAATCTTGGAGATCCTTATATTTTCTTTGGGAAATAGGCAGTCTTTCAGAAAATAATTTCGGCAGCTCTTCTAAAGGTTTTACATTGGTAATTTTCATTGGACGCTGAGGCAACGACTGCAAAGGTTCGTCAAAGTTTAAGCTATACCAAATAGTTCCATCTGGTTTATATTTTAATACCATTAAATCGGTAATAGTGGGATCTCCGAATTTTCTGCCCGGACGAATGGTTTTGTAAATTAAATCAATCGAGACTCATATGGCATTGGGTTATCTCTAGCTGTCTTTGTTATATTCGCATACTGGGAAGGAAGGTAAATTTCTTTTCCCTTTAATCTACATTCGATGGCACTGTGCACAGAGTCGCATTCCATCTGCGTGTGACCTTTTTCTAAGAATTTTTGAGTTATTTTAACTTTTTTATCGATGGATAAACGCAGAAGAGCATTGCTTAAGATGGAATTTCGATTTTGTGCACAGCAGCCATCAGAATACAATATTACCGGTAGTAATTTTCTATTTAAAATTATCTGTAGTTGATCCACAATGCACGATGCGAAAACAGAAGCTTCAAGGGAGCCATTTGATTCATCGAACCAGTAGCAGCAAACTTCACGTGTTGACAAATTGTACATGGCAATTATGGCACTAGCCTGAAGGTAGGGAGCTAATTTTACTGATTGAACATCTTGCGTAAATACATGACACGTTTTTCCTTCTATTGCCAATTTTTTGTCAGTGTCTTCTTTTCTAGCTTTGTCTTTCCTATCGCGATGTATTGCAATTTCAGTATCGTTTATATTTCCAACTTTATGCCCACAGCATACATCGCATTGATCTTTTTTGGGATGAAACAGACTAAGATTCTGTTTTAAGAATACATTGTCAAAAACCCTACGACTAAGACATTTTAAGGAATCTGATTCGCATTTACTGACGTATTCTTTGTATAATTGTGCCATGGTATGAAATACTGGTTCTAGGTATTGTCTGGATGAGTTTGCTCGACAGTAGACGATGGCATCTTCGGCAGGCTATCTAAAAATTGCTGTAGACGCTCGTGACCATCAGAGTTCTTTTTGGAGCAATCTACATTCCGAGAAATCTCAGAAGGCGGTGGCATAGCACAATCTGTCGTTATCAACCAGTATCGGACAAACCATTCTTTAATACCCAATGTATTTAATAACATTTTTTCTCTATGACTCTTTTGTAAGTTACGTGACTTTACATTGAGCGTCAACTCTTGAAAAGTCATCAGGCGTGGTATCATTATCGACCATTTTGTCCATTTTCGTGCTCTGAAGTAAAATATAATATAATTACGATATAGTAATCATTAAAAAAACTGCGTAAAAATCGCTAATTATATCGATGAATACCGCAGCAGTCAGAAACTCAACACAGAAGTACAGCGTAAGTCATTCAGACATCGAAACCAAGCAAAGAGAAAACCGCCTAACTCAACGAAACTGTTCATTCCAACACCGCTTAAGTATTCATGTTTTTAATTGCAATCGTATGACGTATTTTAATAGATAAAATATGAATACTATGTTTTATTTAAGTTACCCTACCTTTAAACTACATCAGTGGGGCCAGTCCGTTACAAAAAATCCGCTTTTTTAAAAACGACAAACGATCTTATAAGGTGCGACGTGGCACGGCCAAATTACTATGGCGTTATGATGACTTGCGCGGTGTTAGCGCAGCCAATGAGTTGTGTTGTGTTACTAGTTTTTGAATAACGCGCTCTTATTGGACGATATTACCTCTAGCGAGAGCTCATTAGACGCGCGGGAAAGTAATCTATCGAATGGTGTAAAAAACGTCATTTGGCTAAAATATGACTTGTGCGGTATTGTTAGCTAAGCGACGATAAGCAATAATAAAATCATAACACGCTTTTGTTAATTATTTTTGTACTACAATTATTATTTCTTGAGTAGATTGAGTTGACATTTTTTTGTTAATGCGATGTTAATTAATTGCCAATGTTACATTACACCTCGTAACGTTGGTCAGTACCCACCTTTACGAGTTACTGTTTACAGAATTATATACAAAAAACTTTGCTGGGGTGTTTTGGCTTACAAATTTCTTGGGCTGGTTACTGGTTAGTGGTCTCACAAATTCAAATTATTTTCTAACATGATTTTGTGAGAAAACTGTTTGAGACGATGTCAAATATGTTTGTAATCGATATTAATTGTTGGGTTGTAGTCCGTTTCCAGCTTTTCAATAATATAAACCTAAATTGTCAAATTTCGACTAAAACGAATTCATGGTGCTTATATATATTACAGTTAAAACCGGTTTTTAGATAGAACGCGTTATTCCTAGTTAGAACGCGTTTTTACTAAACGCCTTTGTTAAAACTAGAATTAACTAATGCTCACAATTGAATATCAGTTAAAACTAGTTATTACTAGACAAAACGCGTTTTTTCGAAGTTAGTCAGTTAAAACTGTTCCGACCAAGGCATTTTTGCATGAAGAAGACGTTCCTAATACAAATTTACCTTTGAGAACTGTTGCTAAGGAAGCATTCATAGGAACAGGCCAGGGATTTATGCGCTGCGTATGTAAGAAAGGATGTATGTCAAAAAGGTGTCTCTGCAAGAAAAATGGCTACCTTTGTAA